GAGCAGAGTTTTCAAATAAGTACATTATCCAATTATATGCAGAAATTAAACAACTTACTCTTCAACCACCAAAAGGAAAAAAAATCACCAGGAAAGTTAGAAAATATCTTGAGACAAACAAAAACACAACATACCAAAACTTAAAAGATGTAGTGAAAGCCATGCTAAAAGGAAAGTTTATAGTTACAAAAGATCTCGAATTAACCTTAAGAAAAATAATGAATTAAATCCAAAGCTAGCAGAAGGAAGGAAATAAGATTAGAGCAGAGATAAATAAAATAGAGAACAGAAAAGCAACAACAAAAAAAACAACATAAACTGAGTTGATTTGTTGAAAAGATCGACAAAATTCACAAAATGTTAAATTAATTAGGATAAAAGAGATTAGACTAAAAGAACTAAGATCAGAAATGAAAGAGGGGATATTACCACCTATTCCACAGATATAAAAAGACCTATAAGAGAATAAATACTATGAATGATTATATGCCAACAAATTGGATAACTTAGAAGAAATGGGTAAATTCCTAGAAACACACAATGTAAGTAGACCCAATTTAATTAGATTGGGTGGAGGAGAAACATAAAATCTGAACAGACCTATAACTTGTAAGGATACTGAAAAAGAAATCAAAACTTCCCAACCAAAAAAAGTCCAGGACTGGATGACTTCACTGGAGAATTCTACCAACCACTTAAAGAAGAATTAACATCAATAATCCTCAAACTCCGACAAAAAACTGAAGAGGAGCGAACACGCCCTAACTAATTTTATGAGGTCAGCATTACCCTAAAACTAAAGCCAGACAGACAATACGAGAAAACTAGGACAAACATCCCTGATGAATATTGATGCAGAAATCCTCAACAAAATACTGGCAAATGAATTAAATAACACACGAAAAAGACTGTACACCAGGACCATGCAGGATATATTCCTGAAATGCAGGGATGGTTCAACATAATAATGAAAATTAATCAGTGAATACACCACATTAACAGAATGAGGTCAAACAAGTGCACAGTGGAGTATCTCAAGAGCTGCCATGACAAAAGAGAAAAGATGGGAAGAAGAGCCCAACCAACTCTTCTCCCCACCCCCATCTCTCAATTTGTTGAACTAGAGAAGCTCCAATTAGGGTATCTATTTCTATCTACCTTATATGTTAAACTTCCTTAAGAAGCAATATGGAACTGTTCCAGAATGTGAGGCAGAAGAGTGCCATGATCAAATTTGTGTTTTTTTAAAGGTAAGTTTAACAGTGTGAGGAAACTGGAGGCACTGGTACCAGAGAAGTTAGCTAGGTGACAACCACAATCTTCCAGATGAAGAGATAAGGAGGGCCTAGACCACAGTCAAACAGATGTAGAGAAGGGGTCATATTCTAGGAGTAATAACACTAGGATTTAGTCCCTGACTGAACGTGGTGAAGCGAGGAGCTGAGTGTGATTGTGAATTACTGACTAGCTTGGATAACTAGGTGAATGGCAATGGACAAAAAAGATTTTGTGGAAAGAAGATAAGGAGGTGGGAGCTTCCAGCCAAGAAGGAGGTCATAAGTAGATACGCTTCACTTCCTCACACAAAAGAAAGGACAACTATCAATTTAAAAACAAAAACAACCAGAACTGCCAGAAAATCAAACTGTATGGAAGTCTGACAACCAAGGAGTTAAAGAAGAAATGCTCATTCAGACTTGTAGGAGGGGTGGAGACAGGCAGTGGGGCAGAGAGGATGTGCAGCAAGGTGGCTGGCAGACCAGGCAGGCAAGGCAGAGGCTGGTGGACTGGGTGGTCCCACATTCCATGTGAATAAACTAGGAAAAACAACTAGAGAGCAAGATAGATCTCACAACCTAGGGTTTCAGTGCAGGAAAAGAAAGCCTCAAAACCTCTGACTGTAAAATCTGTGGGGGTTGCAGTGATGGAAGAAATTGCTGATCTCACAGGAGAGTCGGTCGGAGGGGGCCCATGGGGTCATAGAATGTATACAAACCCACCCGCCTAGGAATCAGCATCAGGGCAGCACCTGAAAGGGCACAATTCGCTGTGGGGGAAGTGACTGAAAGCGGGGCAAGACCTGAGCAAGCAGCATTGTTCCCTCTCTGGCCCCTCCCCCACATACAGTGTCACAACTATCAACTGAACCTAAAAACCCAAACCCAAACCAAAAACAAACTAAGCAGACTAGAACAGGAACAGAATCAGGGAAATGGAGATCACATGGAAGATCATCATCAGGAAGGAAGAGGAAGGAGAAAAGGGAAAGGTGCAGGGAATAAGAAGCACAATTAGTAGACATAAAATAAATGGGGAGAGATTAAGAATGGTATAGGAAACAGAGAACTCAAAAAATGTATATGTACAACCCATGGACATGAACTAAAGTGGGGGAATGCTGGAGTGAGGGAGGTACAGGGCAGAAGGGGATAAAGGGGAGGAAAAGAATGGGACAACTGTAATAGTGTAATCAATAAAATAGACTATAAAAAAGATAAGGAGTTGGTTTTGGATGTGACAGTGTTCTTGCCAATAAGTACCACACGTATTTCAGTGAACGGGAGTTCAATAAAACTAATAGTAGGAAAGACATTTGGCAGCCAATTGAGAGCCAGACTGATGGTCTCACAAGATGCTCCTGATCTAAAACAAGATCTCACGTAAATCACCGAGTTAAATAGAGCCTTGGTCACTCACCCATAAGTCACTTTAGTAAAGCTACAGAAATCATAGGACAAAATGCCACATTTGGCCAGAGGTCAGATCTCAGCAGCACAGGGAAGACAGTGAAGGAACCTCAAAATGCTTCCAAATGGCAAATAATGGTCATAAAGCCCAATTATTTCTCTTTATCAGCCAGGCAGAGCCACTCTTGGATCACTACCAAATTGACTGTGTAAAACAAGGCAGCCTACTAAACACATCATCAATGGTGAGAAACACGTGCAAAGTTACAGCTAAAGATGCCTGCATCTATACAGGTATAGGTATCTAGATAAGTATGGCATAGAAAAATAAAGATTAAAAGAATAGCCCCAAGTTTTTAATAATGTTGATATATGTTAGTTCCTAATGCAGCAGATACTAGAGCATTTTCATCAATATGAATGAATAAAAAATTTAAGGGCATAACTGAATATAGGCAAACATCACCAATCTAAAAAAGTACAGGATATAAACCTCCTGACAATAATGAATAAACTATGGGTTATTATATATCACTGTTATCAGAATGACGTTAAAAGTTATACATATCAAATCAAAATAAGTAAAACAGACTTCCTTACCTTTCCCAGGTTTATATTTGAGATTGAACGGCTGATTCTGCCAGATATAAGGGGCCAGCATAGGTGCAAACTGGGTCATTATTCTCTCAATATACTTCTGAAGAATCTCCTTGTGTTTTTCTGGGTCCCTTGGTTCATCTGGTATCAGAAACAGGCGGTACTCCACAGTATCTTCTACTGTAGCAAGCTTCATATTTTCCTCCATTCTCTGAAAACTACATTTAAGTTTCAATAGTATAAACCATACAGAAAATTGCAGAAGTAATATTTCATTCCCTGAACTATTCTAGGTGATTCCATTGTTTTCCAAAATTCAGTTATCCACATACCATCATCATGGTATCTGCCTTAACAATGCATCAAATATAGTAACACTTATTTAATGTACTTTTAATGACATTTTTGTACTTAAAATTGTGTTTAAATATTTGTGATATAACACAGTGAATGGAAATCCAGTATCCCGTTCCCAAATTAAATAATACTTTTATAAGAATAAAATTGAAAAATATTTGCCTTTGTAGTTGCAGCAGCATGTGTAACATATTTTGAGAACACTGCATTAACATCCTCTGTTTAAACACTAACCAAAGTCCCAGCTCTGCCAGATTTTATTTATTTATTTTAGAGAGATGCGGAAGGAAGGGAGAAAGAGAGGGAGTGAAACATCAATGTGTGGTTGCCTCTAGCACACCCCACACTGGGGATATGGTCTGCAACCCAGGCATGTGCCCTAACTAGGAAGCAAACCGGCGATGCTTTGGTTCGCAGGCCTGCGCTCAATCCACTGAGCTACACCTGGGGCTTTTTCTTTCATTGTAGAATTAGAGTGTTACTCTACCATCTCTAGGACCCTCCCCCGATTTACACTTTTATTATATCATGAAATAGGGCAACTCGAAACTACAAAGCATTCATGTCTCATCCCAAAACAATCTGCCTATGGTTCTTGATCTGTCCAAAATTTGCCCAATTTTCAGGAGAGCACAGCTCTAATATACTAAAAGGTAGATATCTTTATTTTCTACGAGTATCCCTTACAAACAAAAGTACCAGTTTATTACTGCTTCCAGGTGATGCTTTGTAAACAATGGCACTGCAATGGATGGCCCACGTGATCCGATTTTTATATTTATTCGGGTTTCTAACGGACTAATAAGATGAGGTCAAGAGAAATCTGCATCTTCTATCCACACACCGATTCACCAGTCTGTCCAAATCGACATTTGGCCTTTCAAGCCAGAGGGACAGACAGTAATTCTACCCACCCCATAATGCCAAGCACACAATTCAGTGTCCGAAGTAGAAGGGACTTGGATGTCACCCGAACTAACTCACTGTACAGATGAGAAAACCAGGACAGAAAGACAAGCGACCGAGTAGCTGAGGCCTGGCTTGTAATCTAGGGCTCTTTACTCAGATAAGCTCCATCCTTCCACCTGACCAAAGGAAGCCAATTCCTCTTACGGTTCTAGGGTCTCTCCGACTCGTTTCCTCAGCCGCCCCTCCCACCGCGTGAGCTTGTCGGGAGCAGCCAGCAGCCGCCAAAGCCTGGCCTCAGTTTCAGTTCCAGATGTCCGCCTGGAACCTGAGGTCCAAGGAAGCTGTGAGACTCGGAAACGCGCTCAACACCGGAACCTGGCTTAGTTCCCACCGGGCTTGGGCGGGAGCATTAGGCCGGCGCCCTGATGCTTCGTCACTTCCGCCCCCGCGGGGGAGTAGGGAGGGCGGAGGATAGAAGAAGTGGGGAACCCGAGGAGGTGGAGGTCTGGTGTCCAGGAGACGGGGCGTGACGGGGCTGGAAGGTGGCGGGAGGGGGCCGGGCAAGAGCGGGCGGGAGGGCCAGGCCTGGAGGCCCCCACCCTGGCGTGCCCGGCCCGGCCGCGATTGCGGAGGAAGAGGAGGATGATCTCCAGATACACTCGGAAGGCTGTGCCACAGAGCTTGGAGCTGTGAGTGCCCTGTTCCACCATCCCAGGCACGGCCAGGGGAGGCGAGGTGGGGAGCGGGCGCTCCGGGGACCCTTCGTGACCAGTCCCTCGCTCCTTTCCTTTCCCAGGTGGGAGAAAGAAAATTTTCTTCGGAATTCTCTCCTTCCAGCCCTGCCGGACTTTGTCCCTTCTACCTACATCTCCAGCTAAGGCCTGTGCTGTCCCAGGGCTTGGCCCTTTTGGGCGGCACTTCCCGAACTTTGATCTCCTAAAGTACTGGTAGTTTCCGCAAAAAGTTATCAATAGCAGACTGTTACAATGAAGTTGGACGTATCTAGTGCCAGGCACCGTGCAAAGCTGCTTATATTAGCTCACGTAATTCTATTCAACGAGGATAGCTGATGGGGACTGTTACTTCGCATTCTACAGATAAAGATCCCAGATTTAAAGATTATAGCATGCCAAAGATTACGCAGACCAAAAGTAGTGGAGCTGAAGTACAAATCCGGTGTCAATCTTGTTCTGAAGCCTCGGTCACAACCATTACACGTACTGCCTCTCCGTTTCTACAGTTAAACATCAGTATCCACAAGGATCAGTTTTGATGTGAGATTTTAGAAAGCAAATATTCTGGCTAAAAGACACCCCCCGCCCCGCCCCCAACGAAGTGCTGTAATTTAGTAAGTAATGATAATTTCACACGTTAATAAATGCTTATACACTTTCCAAGACTTTCATATCACGATCCTTAAAGCAACAACTCAGTAAATTGGGTATGATTATCTTCAGTTTGTCAGAAGGTGCTGTATCAGACAGGTTATATACACAGTTTAAGATTATATAACCACGAAGTTTTTGAGCTTGGGCTTTTTAACTCTTAACTGCCCCCCCTTCTCCAGTGAGCTGTGTAATTTTTAGCAACTATACAATTTATTAATATTAAGTATACATAGTATAGTAATGACAAGCTTGTTATTCTTCAGTCACATCTGAGTTTCTGGCTATGTTTTTTCTGGCCATGTGGCTTTTAGGCAAATTACTAAATTTTTGGTTCTTCATTTCTCTAGTATAGGAATAAGACCTTATCTAAAAGCATATCTAAACTGATGGCACAGAGCTTGACATATAGTTGGCCCTCAGAAAATAGTAATTGTCCCTTTCCACCTTTCCTTGGTACAGTAGCCACACATAGAAAATCAGGCTGTGATCTCTCCTCACCTTTCTGAAGTGTATTATCTACTAAAGAATAAGATACCTACACAGTAGCAATTCAGATAACAGGCTTTTTATAAACTAGGAAGAAGAATGTCATTTCCTAATGCAACTAGGGTTTAGTGAAAAAATATGCTTTTATAATAAATTCTGATTATTCTGAGAGTAAAAACTATCTTTTATGGGAAAAAGTGTTGATAGGCACTTACTGGGACAGAATTACTGACCCAGTATAGTTATATTACTTGTTCTCATTTGTTAATCTGATACTCCCTGAACATAACTTTCCCAAAGGGGATTCTCTAGAGGAGTCGGGGTGATGTGAATAATGAAGATGATGAGTAATTTATGCATCTAAGTGACCATACATTAAAAACAATTTTTACTTTAGGCGTTATAATGATGATTTGCTTCAAAGCAGTAACTTCAGTTTTTTCCCTAACACTTCCAAATTATAGATGTTAGAAAGATTTTGGAAAAAAAGGTGATTTTCTACATACAGCTTTACATTTTTTAGTGCTAAATTTCAAACACAAATACATAGTAAATATAATGAGCTACCAATCACCCATATTAAAGTTATCAAAATATTAATATATTTGCTTCATCTATATTTACTTTTTTCCTCATCTGTGAAATAAGGAAACAAAACCCTTGACACTATCATTTTACCCCATGAACTTCACTATGCATTATAGACATTTCCTATGTAACCACAATGCTGTTATCAAATTTTAAATTTAAAAATTTTTAATTTTTTTGGTATTATCTAGTTGTCACTCCATAATCCACTTTCTCTGACACACTAAAAAATGTCTTAACATTTTCTATTTCCTAGCTGGAATCCACATTTCTAATCCCTATCATTATCTCAAAGACAAGCTTTTGGTTGTAGCATTACTGAGTGAAAGCAGCACAAATAGCTCTCTGCACAAGCCTTCCCCACCGTTGAAGAAATAATTAAAACTGCAAGCTCCACTGACTGGGCCCTTAACTTCATATTTGTATACAAAAAATGGTACAGTTCACTAAAATCTCAAACTATTCATTTGCTTTGAACAGCCTCAGAGCCAGACTACTTGGGTTTGAATCCTGGCTCCATCACTTACACGAGCCCTATGACCTTAAGCAGGTTACTTAATCCCTGTACACCTCAGTTTCCTTTCCTGTGAAACAAGAGTATTAGAGGTGTATAATATACATCCCTGGGAAGACCTCTTGTAAAGAACCTGTGTAACTTTGTTTAACCTGTTGTGTTTCCTAAATTTATTTGACTACTGAATTTTGTGGGGGAGGAAAATGTACTATGAATGACAAGGACTGGAATATGTAACCAACCCCGTAGTTTGTTCACACACACACACGTTGCACTCCGCAGCAGCACTGTCCAATGGGAATGTAACACAGGCCACATCTATAATTGTAAATTTCAGGTAGTCATATTAAAAGTAGTAGAAACGGGTGAAATCAATTTTTTACCTTTTTATTTTGAAGTAATTATAGACTCACAGGTAGTTATAAAAGTAGTGTATAGAGTCACATGAAGCCTTCACCCAGCTTCTCCCAATGATGACCTCTTACATAACTGTAGTATAATTTCAAAGCTAGGAAACTGACATTGGTATAGTACTGTCAGCCAGACTACAGATACATAGTTGTATGCAATTTAGTCTCATAGAAGTTTGTGTGACCACAAGTAAAGTCAAGATGGAGAGGTGTTTCATCACCACCAAGAACAGTCGTGTATGCCCCTTTCCGGTCACACCCACTCCTTCCTCCATCTCCTGGTAACCACTCATCTCTTCTCTGTAGTTTGGTCATTTGTGAATGTTGTATAAGTGGAGTCATATAGTATGCAGCCTTTTGAGACTGGCTTTTTTCACTTTTTCACTAAGCATAATGTCCTTGAAATCCATCCAAGGTGTTGCATGTGTCAATAGTTCACTCTTTTTCTTTTTTTTTTGCCGGGTCATATTTTATTGTGTGGATACACCAGAGTTTAACCCTTTACCTATCAAAGGACTTTTCCCTTGTTTCCAATTTTATTAAAATTATAAATAAAGCTGCTCTAAACATTTATATGCATATTTTTGTGTGAATGTAAGATTTTATTTCTCTAGGACCAATGCCCAAGAATACATTACCATGGCTAGGTCTTACAGTTTTATAAGAAACCCAAACTATTCCAGAGTGGCCATACCATTTTCATTCCCACCAGCAATATGTGAGACATCCAGATTCCTCACGTCCTCGCCTGCCTTTTGCGTTATCACCATGTTTTATTTTAGCTATTCTAATAGTTGTGTGGTTATACCTTATTATATTTTCAATTAGCAGTGAAATTAATTTTAAGGATATATATTTTTAATTCAGTCCTTAACATTATCACATCTAAAACATTATCACTTTAACATATAATCAAGATAAAGTAGTGAGATAATGTACATTCTTGTACTAAGAGTTCAGTCCTGTGTGTTTTACACTTAAAATGCATCTGTGCATTGCCTTTCTGACTAATCACATTTTAAGTGCTTGCGCCTAATGTATTGGACAATACAGTTCCAGAGCAGCAAGAAGTATGTGACTTAGACTGTGTTTCTGAAAAGTATATTCTTTGTTTATAGGAAATAGAACTTTCTTTTTATCTTTCACAGGAAAGGAATAACAAAGTATGCTCTTAGCCATCACCCCCTTCCGGAGCAGCTGGATGACATTTCCTCTATCAATGACAGCCACTCAAAAGACACAAGTTCCCAAAGGTAATAACACAAAGTGTACTTGTTTACTTCTGTACCTGATAATGGCGAAGGTTTTGGGTTTTAGCTTAGGGTTGGTATCAAGCCTTGTACTAATGAAACAAAGCAAATTTTTTACCACATTTCATTATTATTTATCTTCAGTGTGGAACAGCTAATGGAAAAAACATCATACTTATTGCATAGACTCAGGAGTCCGACAGATACGATTTTTAATCCTAGTTCTTTCGATGCTTAGCTGAATAAAATTGCAAGTTACTTACTAGATAACAGTATCTCATAAAGGTGTTGTGAGTATAAATGAGATGAAGTATACAAAACTTGGCACAATGCCTGACATATAGTAAATGCTGAGTAAATATTAGCTGCATGTATTATTTTAAGAAATACAGCAGAGGACACTATAATTTCAAAGAAAGTTCTGAGAAGCAATGTGGTATTACAGGAAAAATTGCAATCATAAAACTTAGTTTCAAAACCTGGAACTAAATTTCAGACTCTTTGTCTTTAAAATGGGTCTGAGTTCTGCATCACAAGGTTGTTGTTGGGATAAAACATGATTAGTATTTGTAAAAGTGCTTGATTAACTGTGCAAGTGCCATATAAGCTCAGATATTACCAATATTTCTGAAGTGTCCTTAGTTGTCAGAAGTACATGTTACAGGTGGAATGTTAAAGTATTCATTCTAAACTATGGCTAGAATTATGTCCAATGACTGCCATCAATTCTACAGGAATTGGACAGGACTTTTTCATAATACTTAAATTTCAAGTTCATTGACTTTTGCTTCTTTGGATGTATTTGTACATATGCATATTGCCTGATCACTGAGTAGTTAATGCTGCAGAAACTTGAGGAAATATTAAGAATTTTTCTATTTTCTCTCTTCTTTCCAAATTCTGCATTTAGTGAGTCTGACATCACACAAGAATCACCTGTTACATCAGCTGATACTGGGAATTCAAGGTCTGCTTTTCCAAGTTATACAGGCACAGGGATCTCTACCGAAGGCAGCTCGGACTTCTCCTGGGGATATGGTGTGAGTTGTGTGTTTCTGTGGAGCATTTGGGAGATTATTCTGGGAGTTAGAGTCAGTTTTGTCAGTATTTTTCCTTCCTTCACTCTCCTGCATTGCTTCTTTACATTTTAATACTTAAAATTTACCACACTTTCTAATACTTATAAAGAAGCATCAGTCTTCACCCTCTGAGTATTTGTTTTGTTTTATAGATATAGTTGACTTTTAGATATGCTTGCTTAGTGTTTGACTGAAACAATTGTAGGTTAGTATGGATGTGGGCCCAGGACTTACTCCTTTTGCTGTGTTCAGTTCACTAATGTGTCTCCACCAATGTAACACTAATGTTACTTTGTTTAAAGTGGTTTTGAAAGTTTATTAAGCCATTACACACTGGGAAAATGCTCATGATATACTGTTAAATGAAAAAAAGCAGGTTAGGAAGAGTTTTTATAATTCTAATTTTATTTTACATATATGTTTGCTTATATATATTAGAAAAAGGACTAAAGATGTTTACCCAAAGTATTATTCAGTCATTATTAATTGGATGTTGAGATTTCCTATTTATTTACTTACTTATTTATGGCTATCTCCCATTGTAAAGTATTATTTTTACAGCAACCTTAAAAAAATTGCCCTGGCCAGGTAGCTCAGTTGGTCATTCCATGTACCAAGGAGTTGCAGGTTTAATCCTCCATCTGGGCACATACCTAGGATGCGGGTTTGATCCCAGTCGGGACATGTATGGGAAGCAACCGATTGATGTTTCACTCTCTCTCTCTCTCTCTCTCTTTCTCTCTTTCTTCCTTTGTCTCTAAATTAATAAACATATATATCCTTGGGTGAGAATTAAAAATTTTTTATAGACAAATTTTAAACATGTCTGTCACTTTGATGCAATGGGTAGTTTTATTTCTGTATCCTCTTTCAATCTATGTTTCATTTGACCCAGCTATAATCATGGTGTACATATTTCACTTAATATTATTTTATAAGCACTTTTCCACAATATTGTTGTTAGCAACCTACTTTCTTTACAAAAAGACTGATAATTGTTAGACCCTATTATTATCACCATGAATTATTTTCCAGTCATTTTAATTTGGATGCATATATACTTTCCTTACATAGTTGTATGATATATATATGTATTCTGTTTTGTGGTGTAGTTTTTCATTCGCCATTACTTCATATAGATATTTTCTTATTACTATTTCCATCCCTGTCAGTTTGAATAGTTATATAACATTTCCTTATTTTAATGTATCATAATACAGCTTTTCCTTATTATCTAATAATTGGGTTTTCTGTTTTCCTTCATTCAGCAACTATTTTTTTAACACATTTGTTGTCAGACACTGTACTTGGGAATATGGGGTGAGTGAGACTTATGTGATTCAATAGTCTAATATGGGAAATTGACAAAAGCAAATAAACAAAATAACCACAAAAGGGGGTGAGAGCTCAAAGGAAGATGACAGGGTACTGAAAAAGAACATTGTAAATAAGAGGGATTGACTTTATTATTTTTTTGAGGTACTAATATTTTAATATTAGTTAATTATAGCATTTGAAAGGGAAGATCGAATTCCATACAAAATGGAAGATTCTAAAATGTGCCCATTAAACTGCTAAAAAATAAACTGAGTAGTGAGGCTACAACAGAAGTCGACTTTAAGTTCCAGGTGTTGCCACCATGTGATTACAGTCACAGAGACTCTGCCCAGCATGAAGCTGGAGCTCTTACAAGCTATCTCATACCCTGATTCAAAGGAAAAAGGAGACACAACATGAGAGGGAATTAAGCTCTGAATTACTGATTACATCAAATCTACCTCTTCCACCCCAAAACGTCACAAAAGAAGAAACCACCACACCCTGCAGCTACTTCTGGTGTGAAAGAGGTGATGGCCGAGCATGGATATAGGTCATAGAGATCTGCCTTAAAAAGTTCCTGTGTGAGTTGGACACGCCAACAGTGAGCCTCTCCCATGTAGGATAGAGTATCAAGGTCCAGTTCTCAGGAAGTCACGTTTTCATTCATTTAAGCAATGCATACTTACAAAGTGCTTATAAATCATTAGCTACCACTTACAGACATTTCTAGATAAGGAAACCTGACATCTCTAGAGGGTCTGCCAAGTTCCTGTTAGGGAAATTCACTTTAGAGAGGGTTTTAGGTAGAGTAGATCTGAAACTTGAAAGTTTTGGAGTTAACCATGTGAAGAGTGAAGAAAAGAGCTTTCCAGATAGGTAACCAGCAGCAGATACAAAAGCCCTAAGAGGGGAAAGAGCTCCATGTGCCCAAAGAAATGGATCTGATATGTTATTAGAATTTTAAAAAGGTCAGGATGATTGGAGAAGAGTGTACCAGGAAGAGAAAAGCACAAATGAGATGAGAGAGGTAGGCAGGTCTAGAATCATTAGGCATTGTAAACCATGGTAAAGAATTTAAATTTTGACTTCTGGCCAAGGTGGAGGCATAGGAGGAGGCATAGGTGGAGGCATAGGTAGATACACTGTGCCTCTTCACAGAACCAAAAGAAGGACAATAACAGATTTAAAAACAAAAACCAACTAAAACTGCCAGAAAAATCACTGTATGGAAGTCCAACAACCAAGGAATTAAAGAAGAAACATTAATCTGGACTGGTAGAAGGGGCAAAAATAAGCAGCTGGGGTGGGGAGGACTCAGAGCAAGGCAGCAGCTGGAGGACCAGGACAGTCCCACATTGGTATGCAGATAAATTGGGAAGAACAACTGGGGAGTGAGATAAACCACGCAACCCAGGCTTCCAGTGTGGGGAAATAAAACCTCAGAACCTCTCACTGAAAAAATGTGTGGGGGTTGTGGTGGCAAGAGAAACTCAGCCTCACAGAAGAGTTTGTTGGAGAGACCCACAGGGTCCTAGAACATACACAAATCCACCCACCTGGGAATCAGCACCAGAAGGGCACAGTTTGCTTGTGGGTAGCAGAGGAAGTGACTGAAAGCTGAGAGCCAAGGAAACTGCTTTGTTCCCTCTCAGAACCCTCCCCCACATATAGCACCACAAAGCAGCTACATGGGTTGCCCAGCCCTGACAAATACATAAGGCTCCGTCCCTTACTCTGAAACAGGCACACCAAGACAAAAAAAAAAAAAAATGGCCCAAATGAAAGAACAGATCAAACCTCCAGAAAAAATACAACTAAGTGATGAAGAAATAGCCAAACTATCAGATGCACAATTGAAAACACTGGTAATCAGGTGCTCACAGAAATGGTTGAGTATGGTTAAAAATTGAGGAAGAAGTGAAGGCTATGCAAAGTGAAATAAAGGCAAACATACAGGGAACCAATAGTGATGGGAAGGAAACCAGGACTCAAATCAACCATTTGGACCAGAAGGAAGTAATAAACATTCAATTGGAACAGAATGAAGAAACAATTCAAAAAAATGAGGAGAGGCTTAGGAACCTCTGGGACATCTTTACATGTTCCAACATCCAAATCATAGGGGTACCAGAAGGAGAAAAGGAAGAGCAAGAAATTGAACATTTATTTGAAAACATAATGAAGAAGAACTTCTCTAATCTGGCAAAGGAAACAGACTTCCAGGAAGTCCAGGAAGCTCAGAGTCCCAAGGAAGTTGGACCCAAGGAAGCACGCACCAAGGCACATCAGTTACATTACCCAAGATTAAAGATAAGGAGAGAATCTTAAAAGCAGCAAGAGAAAAGGAGATGGTCACCTACAAAGGAGTACCCATAAGACTGTCAGCTGATTTCTCAAAAGAGACCTTACAGGCAAGATGGGGCTGGAAAGAAGTATTCCAAGTCATGAAAGGCTAGGACCTACATCCAAAATTACTCTATCCAGCAAAGCTTTCATTTGGAATGGAAGGGTAGATAAAGTGCTTCTCAGATAATGTCAAGTTAGAGAAGTTCATCATCACCAAGCCCTTACTATATGAAATGTTAAAGGGACTTAACCTAAGAAAAAGAAGAAGATCAAAACTGTTTGGGAGTTGGTAAAATGGCAGCCAACTCCCAAATATCAACAACCAAACCTAAACAAACAAACAAATAAAAACTAAGTGAACAACTAGAATAGGAACAGAATCACAGAAATGGAGATCACATGGAAGGTTGTCAGCAGGGAGGAGGAGGGGGAAGAATGGGGGGAGAGGTACAGGGAATAAGAAGCATAAATACTAGGTACAAAATAGATGGGGAAGTTAAGAATAGTGTAAGAAATGGATAAGCTGAAGAACTTATATGTACAACCCAAGGACGTGAACTAAGGGGAGAGAAATGTGGGAGGGAGGGGGTGTGCAGGGCAGAGGTGAATAAAGTGGGAGAAAAATGGGACAATTGTAATAGAATAATCAATAAAATAGATTTCAAAGAATAAAAAAGGAAGATGGAATTTCATAGCTTTTTAGTAGAATTTTGCATGTTTAGCTTTTTAACTCACAAGACATAATATATGGTATGAGGTATGAATTAAGTTTTTAGGCTCTTAAACCTATTTTTAAACAATTTTTCTATACTTGATTTAGTATCATGTGGTTTTTCATATTTTAAAAAATGTACTAGTGTTCACTAAACAATGTACATTATTTAGTATTTGTGTCCTCTTTACTCTTTCAGATAAATTTTATTTTCACTTCTATAACATTTCTATAAAGTATTTATTAGGGATTTAACTGCTTTCGCATTATTACTTTGTATTAAATTAGGGAATGTATAGTGAGAACTAAAATTTATTTTTTTAAGATTTTGTTTATTTACTTTTAGAGAGAGGGGAAGAGGGAGAGAAACATCAATGTGTGAGAGATACATCGACTGGTTGCCTCTCACATGCCCCCAAGCAGGGACCCAGCTTGCTACCCAGGGATGTGCCCTGACTAGGAATTGAACCAACGACCCCCTGGTTTGCAGGCAGGTGCTCTGTCCGTTGAGCCACACTAGCCAGGGTGAGAACTAAAATATATTAAATATTCAGTAGATGCCAGGCACTGTACTAAATACT